TCTGATTGGCATCTCCCACTCATGTGAGATCCTCTAGCCCCACCCTCTGTACTCCCAGAAGCCCCATCCTTCCAACTCCTGGTGGCCCTGCCCTGCTGAGCTTCGCTTCCCAGCAGTATCTTGGACAGACTGAGTTGCATGGCTCTAGGATGCGGGACATTTTTCCCTCACATGCTTGACCAGTACAGAACCCTCTCTTCACATGGCCAAATCCTGATAAACTCTGAAAAACGTTTGTGCCTGATAAACTCTGCTGGCCTCACTTTGACAACTCCCTAAGACCCCACCCCACCACAAAGGTTTGTGTTACCTGTCAGGTGGTAGCAGACTTGGCATATCCTGGGAAATTTGCTGAGTGGCCTCAGACCCAGCACTGGCACTGAGTTTGTACCTTTATCAATGTGGTGAACATCACTCACCCCTCCTGGTAACTCACTGAGAACCTACCTCATGCAACTCAAGTGCCACCAAAAACTCTTTCAGTGACTGAGCCTAACAGGCAGCCAGCAGACAGAGGGAGAAGGAGGTGGATCTTGAGGTGTCTTGGGACTTTTGCTGAGCTGCCGCCGGGTCCAGTGTTGGTAAAAGCGAGCCGTGGTTCATAGATTGGTCCTTCCTGCACACACGCAGGCCCAGCAGAGGCAACCACAAATTGTGGATCAATTTATAGCTCCAAACAGGTTGCTCAGGACAGGCAGTATCTGACATTGGCCTGCAACAGAATTCCTCCTAAGAAGCCCCAGAACCAACACACCCATTGAAGAGCTTTAGACAACATCAGAGCAGGATCCAAGTAGCTTCACAAGCAGCATATCCAAAGGGAGATCTCAGCAGGCACTAGATCCTGCTGAGGTAAATTCTGCTTCATGTGGTCAGCACCTGCATAGCAGCTCTACACTGTGGTACAAGTCGATCCTCACAGCCAGTCAACCTGAGTGTTGACCCAACACACGAATGGGCCAATAGAAATCAAGACAGAATTACAGCAGGAGGGCCCAGATAATCCACATAAGGTACAGTCCTGAAGCCCCAGGTGATCAAGGAGACTGCACCACTGGGTCCCACAGGACAGTTACTACATAAGGCCACCCTACAAGACTTGGAGACATAGCAGATCTACCTAATACACAAAAACAAACACAAAAAGGCAGCCAAAATGAGGAGACAAAGAAAAATGCCTTAGGTGAAACAACAGGAGAAATCTTCAGGAAAAAAAGCTAAATGAAATGGAGGCAAGCAATCTACCAGTTTTAAAAAATGGTTATGAGGATACTCAAGAAACTTAGTGAGAACTTCAACAAAGAGATAGCAAGTATAAAAATGGACATAGAAACCATAAAGATGAACCTGTCAGAAATAAAGAATACACTTAAAGGAATATACAGTAGGTTGGATGAAACAGAGGATTGAGTCAGCAATTTGGTAGACAACACCCAATCAGAGCAGCAAAATGAAAAAATAATTTTTAAATAAGGATAGTTTAAGGGACATTTGGGACAACATGAAGCATAACAAATTCACATCATAGGGATTCCAGATGGAGAAGAGAGAGATCAAGAGATCAAGGACCTATTTGAAGAAATAATGACTGAAAACTTCCGTAACTTGGTGAAAGAAACAGATGCACAAGTTCTGGAAGCACAGAGAGTCCCAAACAAGATGAACCAAAAGAGACCCACACCAAGACACTTCATAGTTAAAATGGTAAAGGTTAAACACAGCAAGAGAAATCTTAAAAACAGCAAGAGAAAGACAGTTAGTTACCTACAAGGGAGCTCCCATAAGACTGTCAACTGATTTCTCAACAGAAACATTTTAGGCAAGAAGGGATTGACATGAAATATTCAAAGAGATGAAAAATAAGGACCTACAACCAAGACCACTTTAAACCACACTTGTTGTGTGTTGATTTATTGATGATGCCATTCTGACAGGTGTAAGGTGATACTGCATTGTGGTTTTAATTTGCATTTCTATTGGCCATCTTATGTTTTCTTTGGAAAAGTGTCTATTTAGGTCCTTTGCCCATTTTTATTGAATTGTTTGTTTTCTTGGTGTTGAGTTGTATAAGTTCTTTATAAATTTTGGATATTAACCCCTTATCAGATGTATCATTGGTGAATATGTTCTCCCATTCAGTGGGTTGTCTTTTCATTTTGTTAATGGTTTCCTTTGATGCACAAAACCTTTTTAGTTTGATTTGTGTCCTATTTGTTTATATCTTCTTTTGTTTCCCTTGCCCGAGGAACCATATCAGAAAAACTATTGCTATAAAAATGTCCAAGAATTTACTACCTATGTTTTCTTTAAGGATTTTTATGGTTTTTTAAAGACTTTATTTCATTTATTTCTGCTCCGATCTTTATTATTTTCTTCCTCCTACTCACCTTGGGCTTTCTTTCCCACTGTCAGCTTTAATTCAGCTTTCTTTAGTCTGCTGATTTATTTCCAACCCATTTATCTGCTTCAAGATTCCATATTGTTAGTATGTTTTCCATCTCATTCTCCTCTAATTTATTGAGTTATAATTTTTTTTTAATCTCTGTAGTTGCTATAGTTTAAGGGTGGTTTGGGAAGTGAATGACTAAAGGTGTGTGTATTTAACCCACCATTTTTACCCAAAAGCCCAAGAGTGTGTTTTTAAAAAGTATATTGTTTATTTCTGATGCCTAAAAATGCTATTGATTTCTGTATTTAGTTTTTTAACCCAAAACTATTAATTTTAAATCAAACCTGAATTTCTGAATGAAACCCAATCTAGTCACAGTGTTAACATTTTTACATATTTCTGGATTTTCTTTGTCAATATGGTGTTTAAGATCACACCTTTTTCACCCTCCCCCCATCCTCTTGTCTTCTGGCAACCATCAGTTTGTTCTCTCCAAGTCTGCTCAGTTTTGTTTAGCTTGTTCCTTTGTTTTGTTTTTAGATTCCATATATAGGTGAAATCATACGGTAGTTGTCCTTCTCTGTCTGACATTTCACTTAGCATAATACCCTTTAGGTCCACCCATATTGTGCCAATGGCAAGTATGCATTCTTTATACGGCCGGGTAATATTCTGCTGTGTATATGTGCCACATCTTCTTTATCCAATTGCCTGTTGATGGACATGTAGGTGGTTTCCATATTGTTTAGGTTTACTCTTATACATATCGCTTTATTTGCTAATCATTTCTTCTTGCAGTTAAGATCTTTCACATAGGATTATTTTTCCTTCTTCATAAAGTATATCCTTTAATGTTTCTTTTAGTGAAGGTATGTTGGTACTAGTCTTGATCAATTTTTATTTGCTGAGAAATGTCTTTATTTCACCCAGATTCTTATATTTTTCTGATTATATAGCTCTAGAGGGCCAAATATTTCATCTTAGAACACTGAAAATATCATTCTACTCTCTTCTGTGTTCCATTATTATTATTTTTAAAAAGTCAACTGTCAGCATAACTGTTGCTTCCTGGGGGTTATCTGTCTTTTCCCTCTGGCTGCTTTTAAGATATTTTTAGTGTGTGTGAGTGTTCTACAATTTTAGTATGACATGTCTAAAGGTTGGTTTCTTTTTATTTATTCTGCTTGAGATTCACTGAGCTTTTTGAATCTGTGAATTTATATATTTCATCAGTTCTAGAAAATTCTCAACCATTAACTGTCTGAAATAACCTGGGAACCATTTTCTCTCCTCTCCTCCTAGACGTCTGATTAAATGTTATATTAAACATCACACACGCACACACACACACTGATAATACTAATAAATGAAGTTTTGTAGGTATGGTTTTGTTGATGGTGCCTCGTTTCTCTGTGTGCTTCATAATCTTTGAATATGTACCATTAATTGTCCTTGAATTTATTTGTGATTTCTTGGGGGCCTAGATGATGTCGCCTTCCTTTAGCGAGCATTCACATTTGCTTCTGTCAAATGCCTGGAACATTTGCAGTTTGAGAACATTTTCAAGTAAATTCATACCTAGAAGGCTTGGGATTTTTCGTTTTGTTTTGTTTTACAATTCAGTTGGTACTGTATTTGAACAACAAAAACACTTGAAGATTAGATGGTAGTTACAACATCCTAATGACTTTTCTGTCTTGCTCTGCTTAACAACAACGAACACATCTGAGCAGGGGTAGCCAGGTTTCCTCATGGCTCGCCCTTACTCTTCATGCGCAGACCTTTGCAGTCCCAGCTTTATGTGAGGGCAGAATCTCTTGTTGAACTTCACCCAGAGTGGGCCCTGGCCTTCGAATTCTCTTCCTCTCACCTCTAGACCATCAAAAGCATCAAGTGTGCAGGTGTCCTCAGGGCAAAACCTAAGAGTTCAGAGGAGAAACCCCAAATAGCTGGTTCTTGGATCTCTGAGAAGGGCCCAGCCTGGTGCCCAGAGGCAGGACCCTGTGGGTAAGGCCTAGTGCATCGTTAGTTCTCAGAGGGCAGCGCTGCGGCTGCTGCTGCCTCTGAGAGGGCACAGCCAGGCTGGTGCTGGGAGCTTCATCTCTTACCATTTTTCTTCCAGTTTTAGCTTTACTTATGTCATGTTTCTCACTTTCAACACCAACATAAGCCTTTGTACAGACTTTCCTCTGCCTGGAACACCATTTCGGCTCATCGGCCTGCTCAATGGCACCTCCTCTGTGAGTCTACCCCCACCTCCCAGAGCCACCCCGCCCCTTGCACCCCCCTCCTGGATTCCATATCGTGGCGCCCCCCTGTGGTCCCTCCGTTTAGAGCTGGGTGGAAGGACCTGTGCAAGTCCAGGGCCTTGCTTGTTGCCGACCTCTCCCTGCTGACCTAAATGCCCGAGGGAGGCGTGCCAGCTGAGGGTGCGTGGCTGCACACTGTGGCGCGGGGGGCGCGGGGGCTGTACCTGTGGGCAGCTGAGGGCACGTGTGGGTGGCAGCTGTTCCGATTGGTCAGAGGGAGCGCAAACCAGAGAGGCCAGCGCTCTCCCGCATTCGCTTTGCCCTCCCGCCGGACTTGCACTTCACTTGGGCCACTTCCAGCCATGAAGCTCCTTTTGCTGACTTTGACTGCACTGCTGCTCTTGACCCAGCTCACTGCAGGTAGGTCACCTTTCAGAGCCTCGTAGAGAGGGCACCGTCACCAGCAGCAGGTGCAGGTCTCAGGTACCAACTACGACATCCAGAACTTCTGGCTAGCCACCCCATCACTGCTCCCCCAAGGAACATGCCCAGGCGGCCTAGCCTCAGTGAGAAAGACCAGACAGGGTGGGCAAGACAGGCAGGAAGAGGAGAGGACAGCAGTGACCCTCTTGCAAAATAGCCCCCAAAATAATCTAAGCTGTGTAAAGGTCACAGCCACCATAACAAGTGAGAAAAGCTCCTATTTAACTATTGCTTTCTCTGCGCCAGACCCTGTGTTGGGAGCCAGGATTACAGAGATAAATGACATGGCCCTGGGGGAGATGATAGATAACATTTACAACTCTGAGTGACAAGAGCTGTGATAGAGGGAACCACATGCATATGCAGGGGACCAGCCTGGCCCAGGGGCCAGGAGAGTCCTCCCAGAGGGATACCCCCATCCTGAAAAGTGTGTAGAAGTTAGAAGGGGAAGGAAAAGAGGTGGAAATAGCAAGGGTGTCCCAGGCAGAAATAAGCTTCTGCAAAGGTCCAGATGTGGGAGAGATCATGGTGCCTTCGGGGAACTGGCACAAATGAGGCGTGGGTTAGGGGTGTGGCAAGAGGTAAGGCTGAGGCTAGGCCTCGAATGCCAGGGGGGAGCCAAGGGAAGGCTTAAGCAGAGGACTGTAATCGGACTTGCCCATTCCACCAACTCCAGCGCCAGCTGCCTGGCCCCTCCTGCTCAACTGCCAGAAGCTTCTGCCCACCCCCAGGCTTTCGTGTAACCTTCCCAGGTGTCGAAATGTGCGAATTTCCTCCAACAAGCTGACCTCAGCCCTTGTACCTGCCTGTGGAAAACGCCTGAAACCTCTCACCTGGGGTAGAGAGGAAAGCCCCAGAAGCCCGGTTAGAAGCTACCCCAGCATTTTCTAACTCTGACCCCCAGCAAGCAGCTCAGCTGCTCAGAGTTTCAATTTCCTCGTGCCTCAAGCTGCTAAATAGTATGTGCGTAGCAATATCAGGTTGAGGGAACAACAGTGAACACGCTGAAGCTCTGACGTGCAAGAAAATGTAGCTTCTCTATTTTGTATAATTCGTCTGAATTTTTCCTGCAACTTCCATCCGGCTGGTGAGCAGTTGAGTGGGACCCCGGGCGGGGGTGGGGGCGCAGGAGCTGCACATGAACGTGGCAGTTAAATATTCATCTTTCGTGGTTTAAAATGGTTTAAAATGGTTACCAACTTCATTCTGTCTCTGAATAAATATTCAGTCTTTCAGCATTTTTCCTTTCTTATGCTCCCCTTCTCCTTCCCAGGATAGCATCTGGGTTTAAGAGAAAGTAACTTGATATATCATGATTTCATTAATTGGTTCATTCAGTAAACATGGTTGACTAGATTTCATGTTCCAGGCAATGTGATAGGTGCAGGAGGTAGAGCAGTCAACAAATCAGAACAAAACAAGATAAGCAAACTCTGTCCTCTTGGAGCTTACATTCTATTGAGGGAGACAGGAAAAAAATGAAAATAAATGAAACATGTGGAATGTCAAATGATAAACATAATGAGCAGCATAGACAGGAAAGGGGGAAAGCACATATGAGGGGGTGGGTTTGCCGTTTTAAAGGTGTGTTCATGGGATGGCTCAGGGGGACCTGAGGGAGGATAAGCCATGTGGATTTGTGGGGAAGAACATTCAAGCTGTGGGGGGAGACATCAGGTGCAAAGGCCCTGGGGCAGGAGCATAAGGAATTGGGATAGGGCCCTGTGCTGGACCTTCACTGGCCCTTAGGACAGTGTTCTTCATTGTTTATGGTCAGTGAGTGCCCTGCTGGCACTTGCTACTGGATCCCGTGGCTGATGAAATCTCAGTCCTGTCGAGAGCCCACTGACCCAGCCCTTTATCTCACCAAATCTTCCACCTGGCCCTTAGGTTTAGGCTGTTCACTCCCCTTCCCACTGCCTTATGCATAGAGGTCTATTCTTGACAAGCAGACCCAGGCTCTTAGCTTCTCACTGGCTTTCCTGTCTCCACCGTGGGACTTCTCGACCTATATTATGCCACAGGAGAGCAGAGGAGATGCTCAGTCACTTCCCCAGCCATTTCTAATCTTCCTCCAAGTGGCACCATGATGTGCTGTGTCTAATCTGTTAGCAAACCAAGGACCGTGCTCCAAGAGGTAAGGGGTAAATGCTGGCAGTTTGTCCAGACCAATTTGGGTGTTTGTAGCAAAAGATTCTCTCGCCCCTGCTTTTCTCACATTAGTTGTCGCTGCATCCTAGGTCGGCCAGCAGGCCAGGAGTGGGGAAGGGGCGGAGAGCCTTGGTCCCTAGCTTGCTGGCGGGTCCACCACCACCCTGGCTGGCCGAGGTGAGGTATGGGGTTCCAGTGGAGCTCTCAGGCCTGTGGCGGCTGCTGTTGCTGCAGGAAGTGGATTTACGGGCCCAGTTTCTCTAGGGAGAGCGTTCCCCTTCTCCTTTCTGTGGTGTGATGGTGGTAACAGAGATCTCGTGGGGAAGTCTCTTTAGCCAGACCCTCAGCCTTTGCCTCCTGTGGCTTATGGTAAGGTAGTATTATCTGAATCAGTCAGGCTCACCTAACAATATGTAAAGGAGCTCTTTGCAGTTGGAAATCCTGATTGTTCTTGATAAATTTTGGTTTTTTAAATCATTGTCTTGCTATGAACTAAAACTACTCATCTCATTTAAGCTGAGCAATGACTTTGTCATTCTAACTGTTCTTTACCATTTCTCTAAAGCCCAGAAACAGCCTGATTCTGCTTTTTGGCAACCAAAATTAAAGGGGAATGAAATATATATTACTTTAATATTTTCAAACTATTAAAGTTAGGTTAATTGTGGAGACCCTGGACATATGTATGAAGCCTGAGAACCCAATATTAGGTTTAGGTGGGACATGTCATCTACTTTTCCAGTATACCTCATAGCACCCAGAGTTCTTCCTTTATAACATTCATTCCAACTCTAGTCAATCAAATGTCTGGGAAGCTATTTCTTTAATGGCTATTTCCCCCCTACTAGACTGGAAATTCTCTGAGGGCAGTGTCTATCTCTAACTTCTTTCTAGTTGTGTCTCTAATACAGCTACATTCTCAGTCTATACATGTGAGTATTTCTCTAGGATATGCATCTAGAAAGAAAATTGCTAGGTAATTCTGTGCCCAGTTTTAAAATGTGTGAGTCATTGCTAAGTAGCCTCCGAGGAGCGAAAGCAAAGTGTATGAGACCATCTTTCCTCTCTCTCACCAACAGTTCATCTTGACACTCTTGAATTTAAAATTGAGATTTTTATTGTAATGGTGGGTGGAAGGGTTGTAAAGTAAAACACAGAATTACAGATTATGAAAACTACAGAAAACGAATGCACAGCTTAATAAATTGTTACAAAGCACACAACCTAGTAACCACAATCCAGGTCAATAAATAGAACATTGACCCAAAGAAACCCCACCCGCCCCCCATCACAACCGTCTCCCTCCCCCAAATTAAGCAATATCTTGACCTTTATAGCAATCAATTCTTTGCATTTCTTAATACTTTCATTGCTAAGGATGCATCCCTAGACACCCATTTTTTATCATGTCCGCTTTTAAAATCTGACATCCTTTAAGGTTATTTAATTGACTAGTTACATATTCACCCCTTTCTGGCTTTAGAATGTATCTGGTTATCTGGTGTGACAAGATATTCTAGGCTCATCTTGTACAATTCTAGCCACAGATCATGAAAGCCATTTCTTTAAGAAACTCTGATTTTTTAAATAGGGAAATAGTATGTGAGAGCTATGACCTAGTTGCTAGAGATATTCGATGCTGCTAAACTGGTCCTTTCTTCATCTTTTCAGTAGCCTGAGCTCGGAGGGAGAATCAACACGCTTCAATGTCTGTAAAATAGCTCGTGAATTCACACTCATACACTCTGCTCAAAGCGAGGACTGCGGGCCTTGGGCTCAGCCTGCTCCCTGCTCCTTCTGCGTTTTCCTTCTCCCACACCAACACTCTGACACACTGTGACTCAGTGTGTACAGTGTGCACTTTACAACCCTTCCCCCCACCATTACAATAAAATCTCAATTCTAAATTCAAGAGTGTCAAAATGAATTGTTGGTGAGAGAGAGAGGAAAGACGGTCTCACCATCTTTCAGCCTTTCCAAGTCATCTGCTATTTAGGAGCATCTTGAATAATGGTCGAGTATTATTTGATATCTCGCTCTGCTTTTTTTTCCCTCAAGGCCTCTTCTTGTCTCTATGTAGAATCCTTTGCTTATCTCCAGTATCTGCCCCTTTCTATAGAATGTTTCTCTTACTATTTCTTTTTTGATCAGTTGTACTGAGTTCAAATTTATAGAAAATAAAATGCCCACATTTTAAGCATACAGTATCAGCTTCAACAAACGCATGCATTCAGGTAACCGCCAGCACGATCAGTATAATACATTTCCATCACCCCAGAAAAGGTCTCTCTTGCCCCTTTGCAATCGTCACCTCCTCAGTCACCAGCAGCCACTAATCTGCATTCCGTCACTTTAGTTTGGCCTTTTCTAGAATTAGGAAAGACAAACAAGGATTGTTTTTTAGCCACAGGAAATGCTTTTGCTTTCTAGCAAGGAAAAGCAAATAGTCCTTCACAGAAAAGGCAGACAATAGTAAATCCATATGTGGATCCTTGAGCTTTCGGGAGATGGTGCTTCCTTTCCATGTTCCACCTTCACTGGTTTTCCAGCATCATTAAAGTGGCTGATGGAACAAATACTAGAGCTTTCCTCCAACCTGGGCTGGAATAAATATGTTTGTCTTCCAAAAAATAAAAAACTTCTCCACCAAGGTTGTCTTAGAATAGTTTTTAAATATTCTTTGCTGTTATGGGTCAGATTTTGCACCAAGCTCCATTTCAGTCACTCCAGAAACACCAGGTGTCTTCCTAATACATCTGATTGAAGTAAACACCCTAATTTCTCTCAATATATTTTTTCAGAATCTAGTGCTTGTGATTTCAGTTTGCTCAAGGTTCCAAAGAAGTTTTAAAAGGTAATTTTTTTTCAAAAAGTAAACCCTTGGCCTTCATGGCTATATAAAAATGAACATGTGTTAAAGATTTCATTTAACTCATAATGACAGTACAAGGCAGATTTTATAACTGGGTCAAAGCACAAATGTATATATATATGGAGTAAAGGAATGTTGAAATGAATTTACAAATAGATAAAAACTGGCTTTTCTACCCATGCTGAAGGGGAGGAGTCTATAGAACCTCTATGGAGCAGAACATACTTGCATTGATATAGAAAATAATTATTTTGCATTACTATCATTTATCAAGAGCTCACAGAGTTGTAAAATAGCTCCCACATGATCAAAATCAGAGAGCTCTGAAGGTTGTGACCTATCTAAACCCGGGACTGTTAACACTATTGGCAATCATTGGCATTTTGGGCCAGATAATTCTTTGTTGTGACTGTCCTGTGCACGGCAGGATGTTTAAAAGAATCCTTGGCCTCCACCCAGTAATTGCCATAGCAAACCCACTTCCACCACCACCACCAGTTATGACAACTAAAAATGTCTCCAGACACTTCATTGCCAAACATCTCCTGGGGAGCAAAATCACCCAGCTGAAAGCACTGCCCCAGACAACGCATAGTTTTCCACTGAGCACAGATTTTCCCTCACATTGGTCAAAAGGTCACCTCTAAGAAAACTTACTCCTGATCACAAAATAAACCTGGTCTAAATCTTCAGCAGAAAGAAGGAAACAGCAAAGAATAAATTAATGAAATAGAGGGTGGTCATGACACCAAACTGTCTAAAGAAAACAGTTCAACTGAGACAAACAGAGGTTACAGGCTTTATTCGGCTGATGGGTATTAGGGAGCACCTGAAAACCCAAGTCCGAGCAGGCTTGGAGTTTTTACAGAATGAAGAAGAGAAGGGTAATGTCATTGTTTGGCTCAAGCAGCAGATTTCATCTTTAACTGCTGCAAAACTTGTGGTTGGAGTAGCTGGGACCTATTCTGGATTCCTGTGCCTCTTGCTTGACGGAATTGTGCAGTCCCACCCCCACCACCCCCAGAATAGGTCTTTGGAACACTGTTGCTGCAGGCCCTGCAGTCCGTTGGTCAGGCAAGATGCTGGGACAGGAAAGGCACCAAAAACATTGTTTCTGATGGATGGGATGTTGCCTGGGGCTCGGGGGAAGGGAGGATGGGGAATTAATGTTTAATGGATATAGAGTTTCAGTTTTACACGATGAAAAGAGTTATGGGGATGGACGGGATGGTGAATGAAAAACAGTGTGAATGTATTTGATATCACTAAACTGCACACTTAAAAATGGTTAAGAGGGTAAATTTTATGTTAAGTGTATTTTACCACAATTTTTTTTAAAAACCCTAAGTACAGCCACCTTCTTGATGAGAGGCCTTGGCAGAAACAAAACCAAATAAAAATAAGATTATGAAGAGAGTGATGGAATGTTAACCAAAACCACACAAACATTTTTAAAAACCCAGGATGAACCTTAAAAATATTATGCTAAGTGAAAGAAACCAGACACAAAAGGCCACATATTTTATTATGTGATTCCATTGGCATAAGTTATCCAGAGTAGGCAAATCTATAGAAAGGAGGGCAAGTTGGTGGCTGCCTGGGGCTGGAGGGAGGGGAAATAAGAATACATGGGGGCAGGGTTTCTGTTTGGGATGATTCTGAAAGTTCTGGAACTAGATGGTGATGATGGTTGTACCACACTGTGAACGTACTTAATGCTTAGACTGGTGAAGTTTATGTTATTTGTATTTTACCACAATTTTTGTAAAGAAGGGAAGGAATAAAAGAGAAAGCAGGGGAAACTGATGTGAGTTCCCTATCACGTCCGCTTTAACCCTTTTATAGACCTTTCAAACCCAGAACCCACCTCTTCTGAGGACTGACGTCATCTCCATTCTTCTTTCATGTTTTGTGTCAGGTGGCACCCAAAGATGCTGGAACTTTCTTGGCAAATGCCGTCACACGTGCTCCAAGAAGGAAAAGATCTATGTTTACTGCATAAATAATAAACCGTGCTGTGTGAAGCCCAAGTTCCAGCCAAAACCGAAGGCATGGTTATTCTGAGTTCTCTGAAACCTAAAGCCATAAAAATGAAGATGAAGCTATTCTGCGTCTGACCCCCTGGAGATTCCTGAGTTCTATCAGTGACCGCCTCCGGCTGATTGCTGTGCCAGCCTGTCAGTCTACCCGGCCCTACCCTGCCCCCACCCCACAGGCCCCCTGTCAGGCAGTCAGTGATGTCAGAACTATTTTCATAATAACAATAAAATATTATTCATCTTGTTCAATCTCAACCACTCACAAGTGTGCAGTGGAATATTCTGTGCTCTATGCGACATATGATGATATTGTTCTGGCAGCCAATGAAAGTTGTGCTTATGTATTCTTATGTTTCTAGAATTTTTTAAGGTAGAAGGCTGAAAGTATGAATGTGTTCACATTTAGAGATTAACTCAGATTGTTCTCAGTAATTCTACTGTGCTCTTACTAGCTATGTTTAGTTATATTATTAATCTCTGTGTAGCCTCATTATCATCTAATAAATTATTACTTTGAAATTTTAAAATTTTCCTTATACCTAGCTGACACACTGCAAGAACTAAGAATACTTTGTTGTCTTAGTTTGCAGAGGTATGTTAACAACCAGTACCAACTAACAGAGGAAAGGATATGCTCCCCCTGAGTGAAAGCAATAGTTATTCTAGCCTCTACAATTCTTTAAATACGATTTCTAGCACCCAATTAAAAAAAAAAAGGATATGCGCAGAAAAAGATAAATATTGTTAAAAAGACACCAATCACAGCCTCAAGAAGCTTAGTGAACTCTAAGCAGGATAGACTCAAAGAAAATCAAATCTAAGCAGAGCTTAATTAGACTGCTAACAAACCAAAGGAAAAGTATGTCCCAATACCTGTGAATATTTCAAACAAAACATATTCAAAAATTTTATGAAGAAAATTAGGAGCCCTTAGAGAAAGTCTAAATCAATAGAGAGGTGTACTATGTTCATGACTTGGAAGATTCAGTATCTTAGAGATGCCAATTCTATATCAATTGTTTCCTAGATTCAATAATATTCCAACCAAAAAAAATGTTTAAGTTTTCCCAGAATTTGACCAAAACTGTGCACATATAAACAAATATTTTGTTAGGGACATAGACATAGATGACAAAAGTATCAATAAAGCACAAATTTAAGTTAATGGCTAAATCTAAAATATAGAAATTAGAAGAAGTAATGCTGATATTCTCTTTTTCTTCAATCAAGATGGTAGAACTCGAGATATTTGTTGTCTTATTGTTTTTATACTAATATTTTTGCCTTCTTGGTGTATAAAAATCAAGCTTTTTTAAAAAAAGAAATAAAATCTATGAAAATTAAGTACTTTAAGAATCGTATACCAGAAAAAAACAAAAAAGCTAAATCAGTCAAAAAGGCCTACAAAAGAAAATATTTGACAATTACATGTCTTCTACAGGATTTTTTTCCAAAATATGTAAAGAACTCTCAAAACTCAATTTTTTTAAAAAAGCAAACAACCCAGTAACACATTGATGAGCAAAGAGTTGAACTGACACTTCACCAAAAAAAAACTACGTATGTGGCACATAAACACATGAAAATTTATAAATAGCAGAGAAATGCAGATTAAAATTACACTAAAATATTACCGCGCACATATCAGAATGTCTAAGTTAAAACAGTTGATCCTAACAGTTGTTGCCGAGGAAGAAGCGCTGGCAAGTGGGCGCCCACCCGCCGCCCAAGGGACCGTGGAACAGCCGGGGACACAGGCCGCGGCTTCCCCCTGAGCCCAGTGGGCCTGTGCTGACCCTGCCGCGCTCGGTAATGTCTGCGCAATGACGAAAGCATTAAAGAGACGTTTCTCAGAGCATACCCCATCCTTAAGCAAGGGACTATTGTGAAGCTAAGGACTTTTTTTTACCATGTCTTAAACCTACTGAACCACAATCCCTGTAAACCATCCATTCACTTGCTCATTTGGTCACATACAAATATGTATTGGTCATCTCCTATTTGGCGGGCACCATGTTTAGTCTCCAGCTCCACAATGCCAAATAAAACAGACGTGGGCTTTGCCACTGTGGCGTCTACAAGCTGTGGAGGAAAAAGCCTTAAACAAGAAATAATTTCATAATCACATCCGATGGAAGGGCTATGAAGAGTATAGTCATTGAGAATAAGGGTGGGGGGATTATGAGAGAGGTGGGCCTCCGTGAGCTATTAGAGTAACCCTCTCTGCGGAGGTGGCATTTCACCTGGGGTCTGCCATCGGAGAACTTACGTCTGCAAAGAGTTGAGAGGGAGTTTGCAGAATATTCCAGGTAGATAGCATGTGCATGGGCCTTTTGGGAGGAGGGTGGCTTGCTCCAGAGATGGAAAGAGGGGCATGTGGCTAAAGCCTGGTGTGCAAGAGATGAGAGATCCAAGATGAGATTTGCAAGGCAGACAGTGCGGTAGGCCCCACAACACTTTGATGTTTGGATTAAACCTTTAATACTTTATATATTAAAGCAGAGCGCTGTCTGCCTTACCTCCAATTGCTTATGTTTACTAATAGCTTCTGCTTCCTCAAATTATGCTCTACTCTACCCCTCCTCCCACCACCCACCCCACTCTTCAACCTTGACTTTTACTAAGGCAACTTTTCAGCTGCATCTCCAATTATGCACTACTTTATTCTCTGTATTTCCCAATTCAAATCCTAGTAGCAGAGAATCTGATTGATCCAGTTCAGCGTTTTGTACCAACCCATCCTGTGTGTAGGTCACTGGCCAGCCTACAGGATTAGCTTGGTTTGGGAAAGTGCCCACCTTTTGTCCAATCAACTGTGTCTGGGGCATAAGGAACAGGGGTTTCCTGGTCTGCATATACTTGTCATTTCAGCCAAAGCTATTCGCAGGGTTAGAAGGGTATAAATGGGAGGGACATGCACAGTGTCTCATGTACTCACTTTTCCATGTATCTCTGCAATGAACTTCTATGGGAAAGAATATGTCTGCTCTTTGCCTCATGAAACCCTGAGCCCCTGTGCTTAGAGGGAAATGAACATCAATAAAATATGGGCCTTCTTGGTGGAATTCTGGAGAAGGGGACAGCCCCTCTCTCCATCTCCTCATGAGGTCCTACTAATCTGTTGGTGAGAGCTTGACATTCACTGGGTCCTATTGGACCAAATGCTTCCTTTTTATAATAAATATTTTGCAATGCCCCTTTTTTGTCCTTAAAATAAGATTCATAAATATTATAACCTACCTACTCACATAATTTCAAGAAAAATCAAATTAAAAGCCAACTATAATATAAAGGAGGAAAAAAGAAACTTTTATAATAATATGTGTATTGACATATAAGTACACTTAACAACCTAATGAAATAGTCAGATCTTTTACCTATACACAGCATGAGTGTAATAGCTACAACGCAGGCTTAAAGGGGTGTGCTGTGTGCACACCTCAAATACTGCCCAAAACGTTTGCTGTCTGTGTCCTGGCTCTCCAAAATGGTGAACGTCTTGGGCAAAGCCCTAACCAGAGCAAAGTATAATCATCCCTTGATTTACAGTTTCATTTCAGGAAAACTCAACAAATACTTGCAAAACCACCTTTGATTTCTGGGCTCAGAGAACTATAAATGAGCTTCTCAGCTACATAAATGTCTAGCAGGATATTTGAATTTGGGGGAGGGGAAATCAATACTTCATACTTCATTTTCCAGGACAGTCTCACACATTGTTTGCCACCTGGCATCCTGGGGTCCCCAACCTACTAAATTCCAGTAGGGGCCCTGTCAATTTCCACAATTTAAAAAAATGCCATCCACAAATTCCCAAAACAACCTCTAGAGGGCAGTATTTCTCCTTTGAGCTGCCCATTAGCAGAGTCCTCTCCCTGGATTTTCTCTTCTTTCTAGACAAGTGAAGCTGCATCCCCAGCACAGGTAACGGACTCAAATTCAGCTACAGGTGCTCATAAAAACAGAGAGAGAAGAGAAATAAGGTTTCTCAGAGATTTTTTTTTTAACTTTTTTTCTCACTTTTTAAGTCAGGTTAGTTTTGCCTTTCTTTGTTTTGCTTGTGTGTGAATCCTCACCTGAGGTGAGTGGCCAGCGCTCTGACCACTGAGCATGCCGGCCAGGGGTAGTGTTGTCTTCCTTAAACTTTATATAAATGGAGTCATTCAGCATGTACACCTTTGTATATGGCTTCTTTTGCTTAACACAATGTTTCTTAGACTAGCTCACGTTGTATCAGTAAATTGCTATTGTTGTTTACTGAATAGGACTGTACCCTATGGATGTATCCCAGCTTACCCATTCACTTGTTGGACCTTTGAGTTGTTTCCAGTTATGGGATATTATAAATAAAGCTGCTATGAGCATTAAAAGAGAAGTCTTTGTATATACCTATTTCTATTTCATTTTATAAGTAACTCTGCAACTGCTTTCCAGGTTGGTTGTCCAGGTTGCCTTCCTGTCGCAATGTATTTGCATTCCAGCTGCTCCATATCCTCACCAGGCCTCGCTATGGGCAGCCTTTTTTTGTTTTAAACATTCTGGTAGGAGTGTAGTGGTGCCCACTGTGGCTTTAATTTGCACTTCCCTGAAGACTAATGATTTTGAGATGGCTTATTGGCTATTTATGTACCTTCTTTTGTAAAATGTCTGTTTAAATATGTGCCCACACTATTATTGAACTGTCTTTTTCCTACTGATTGTAAGAGTTCTTTATACATTCTGGAAACAAGTCCTTTGTCAGATATATATTTTGCAAATATGAGCAACGGTAGTCCAAATAAGCCAAAGGAATCCTTCCTTGAACCAGTGCCTGAGTGAGAGGAGATGGGAAGTGTCTCCGCTCCTGTTGCAGTGGAAGCACCTGGCACCGAGGGCATCACACTGCACTGTGGGATTCCACTGCGGAGAGATATTTATTTTTCATAAAAATGGCCCCTAAACATAACCAATCAGCCCCTTTGCTTTAATGTGTTCCATTGATGGAGGAAAGCTTACTATGTATGTCAGTCTCCATAAAGGCAGATTCCTGAGCGATTTTCAAGGGTAATTTGAGCCACATGTGATTGTTGCCTGGCTCTCAAACATAAATATAGTGCTGGTAAAATAAACAATTCCACTCACACTCTGCCACTAAAACCCCAGGTGGGGCCTTGGTCAATGTGCTCAGTGGTTAGAGCATTGGCCCATGCGCCAAAGGATCATGGCTTCAATTCCAGTCAATCGGGGTTGCAGGTTGGATCTGCGCATTCAGGAGGCAACCAGTCTCACATCGATGTTTCTCTCTCTCCCCCTTCCTCCCTCCCTTCCACTCTCCCTTAAAAAAAAAAAAAAAAAAAATCAATGGAAAAAATACCCTCGGGTGAGAATTAACCAAAAAAGAAAAAAAAAAAAACCAGGTAGGGGAAGGGAGTAAGGAGTCCCCATATCTTACCTTGAACTGCCCACAATAGCCTTTGTTCTAACTCCCTTGTCCTTATCTTGTAGCCCAAAGGGAGCCACCTGGTCATCAGAATGAGAAACGCTTCTAATCTCCACTCCAACAGAAGAATCTAGATACATGTGAAAAATGCAGATATATTTATATAAATTATACATATATAACATGTCTAGAGAGAAATATCTATATATGTCTATATATAAATATATAGATACCTATACCCATATAAATATATTATACATACACACTAGTGTGTAAGTTTAAAACAGTCAATTAACACATTTTTTGAATGTATATGTATTCTATACTGTATTTGTACAATAGAGTAAGCAGAGAAAAGAGAGAGAGAAATGGTAAGGTACAAGTGGTGAAACGTCGATATTTGAAAAAACTGGGTGAAGGGTCTATGGGAATTCTCTGTACTAGTCTTACAGATTTCCTGTACGTCTGAAATCACGTGGAGAAGGCTACTGGCGTCCTCTTGCTCAGTAGAGGTGGTAGCGGTTATAGCATTTCTTTCAGTGACCGCTTACAAAGGCCAGATGATCTCATCTGACCCCACAGCTCCCCCGTTATGAGCTGTCATCAGGCCCACTTTGCAGAGAAGAATCCTGACATCAGGCCCAGGAAGTGACTTGCCCTGATCACAGCGCCTGTGGCCTGTAAGTGGCAGAGCTGGAGTCTGAACTTGAATCTGTCTGACTCCTCACTCCCAGAAATCATCACCATCTTCCCTGCAACAAAGTCACAAATTCCCTGAAACTGTGCAAACAAGATCTAACTCCTTCACTCTGTAGAACAACTGAGAGGAGGGGTCAGAGTGCGGAGCTAAATTGAGTTCAATCTAGTTGAAAACTTGGTCTAATTCAACAATTTAAATATTCTCTTGAGGTTTCTTGAGTTCAGAGAGACTTGGTCTCTGGTATAATTGCTCTGTCTTTCAGATTCCTCCTCTCGTCCCCCTGCTCCTCTCAATATGAAGGCTGGGGTAAGGGTGGGAAGACGCAGCGGTCGGGTGCAGCTGGCATCTGCTGGGATCTCGGTGGCTTGGGCCTGTCACTGGCTTTCGGTTATGGCTGGTTTCTGGTGAACTGATCTGGCCTCCTGCAGACTCAGTGAGGCCTAATGGAGACATCAGCTCTCTGTGATTCTGTGGCCGCCTGTGGGGTTCTTATCTTGTCCTGTTTCTAGGCTCCGGATGCCATGACCACCTTGCCCCCACCAAGTTGGTTCCTAAAACAGGTCCCCTGGCTCTCAGGTCAGTGTCCAGACCCCCCTTCAGGATCTAAGGGAGGTTTAAAGGCAGGGCTGATTTGCAGCTGGCACACTTTGTTATTGAAATAATTGAATGCTTTCCCCTGGCTAGGAAAGAGCTGCACCCTAAGCCCCTTGGGTCTCCCCTCCTCCACTCCAGCTGTCTCAGGCATTTCCCCGGGGTCCCTCTCATACCAGAAACTAAAGGGTTAACACCTGGCATGGCAACTGGCCTCCAAGACTCTGCTCCAGCCCCAGCCTCCGCGTCCCTTCTGATGGTAAATATTTTGAAAGTCACCACTCCTTTCCTAGCCTGGCCATGCAGGGTACCTTTTCTTACTCCATGTCTACTCCAAACCTCTCCGAAAAGTCTCAAAGAACAGTGGACAACAGCCCTCTGCCCTTAGAGTTCCTCTCAGCTTATCCCACACGCCTGCCCCCTCCTGGGCTCAATCCCAGGGTGAAGGTGGGCCAGCACTGAGGGTCTCTCAACTCCCTTCCCCCCAAGCTCAAGTCTGTGATACAGGCTAGAACAGCTACATGCTCTTCCCCAGCCTTCCTACACCAGGAGCAGCAGTGTGACACGGGCTGGTCCGTGAAAAGTAGGTAGAAGTCTGCTGAGGGAGCTTCCAGGGAAGTTTTTCCTTTCTTGATGAAAGTGAGAAACTAACCCTTGCCAACCCTCTCCCCACTTCTTGCTTTACACAATGGCATGAGCCTGAAGTTATGTGACCCAAGAGGACCCCAGAGATGCTGGCCCTGACATGGTTGCTACCTAAGCTCCAGATTTTTTTTTTTTAACCCTCACCTGAGGATATGTTTTAGGGACAGGGAAGGGGAGAGGGAGAGGGAGAGAGAGAGAGAGAGAGAGATAGGTTGCCTCCCATAGGAGCCCCGACTGGGGATCGCCCCACAACCTAGGTATGTGCCCCGACTGGAAACTGAACCAGTGACCTTTTGGTGAAGGGGATGGCACTCCAGCCAACACAGCCACCTGGCCAGGGCGCCTCCTTCAGATTTTTTTACATGAGAAAAATAAGTTCCTGAAAATTGAGTTTCCTGTTTTTTCAGCCGAACACAATCCTGACACAGGGCGATTAGGACACATGTCTGTCTACCCACCTCACCAACTCTGCTCATGGCTTCTCCCTCACTTGCTGTCCCCACAGTTCCTTGGACCTAGAGGCAGAGATTTTCCCTATTACTCCTCCCTGTTTATATGAAAACTTTGCTTTCATAAAATCCTTATTTTCCACTTGGGCAGGCTCTTCAAATGCTAAAATAGGAGATAAAGGAACATAGAAAAATCCTTTCATTCTCCATAGGATCTGTCTTTCAAGCCCAATGTACCATCTCATTCTGAATGCCAGAAATGTGGTTTTAACTCTATTATTATTCATTCTTATTATAATTAACTCATTTTATTAATTCTCATAATTACAATTAACTCCTATGATTAACTCTACCTTTCTTCTTGCATTCCTTCTATAAAGTCCTAATCTCCAGATATTATAATTATCCCCATTTTATGGATGAGAAGACTGGGGAAGCTGACGGAAATTGAGCAATTTTTCCGGAGTTGGACAGAGCAAAAGTGATACAGGCAAGACTGGAACCATTTCCAGTGGTCATTAATGCCCACTCTCCTCGGGCACTTCACTGCCTCCACCAAACATCCCTCCAACTCTCCCACATTATGGACCTTCCCACTCTCCTCTTCCCAGCCCTGGGGGAGGTGGGGGTAGAGGGGTGGTGGGCAAGAAGCAAGAGGAGACAACAGGCAGCATGTATTTTATTGAAGAGCAAGTGTGCCAGCCCCGGAACCAGCTACACGATCCCTGGCTTCTGGTTCTTGAGTCCATAGGGGATACAGCACAGGGAGGCATCCGGGCACAGGTGCATGTAGGCTTCTCGCATTGTGCAGTAAGTCCGGCAGGCGCCTTGGCCCTTCCAGCACCGTTTGAACTCATTTCTCCCTGTGCAGAGGAAGACCACAGGTCACAGAATAGCCGAGGGGTCACAGATTAGACCACTCTTAACATGTTGAACCACAGATCAAGGGTGAGGCCATAGGTTAGACCACTGACCACACGTTAGCTCTCTGGTCTTTTGTTGGACCACAAGACACAGAGCAGCCCATGGGTTCCAGTTAAGACTACTGGTCACAGATTTAACCACAGATCAAGGGTGAGACCACAGGTCACAGGTTAGACCACTAACCATAAGTTAGTCCACAGGGCCCAAGTTAGATCATAAGCTACCAGTTCGCTTTCTAGTCATTTGTTAGATGACTGGTCATAGAGCAGCTCACAGGTCGTAAGTTAGGTCACAGGACATGAGCTCTGACCACAGGTCAAGGATTAGATTGGAGGTAATAGGCTAGACCACCAGAGACAACTAGTTACAATTTAGACCACGGATAGTTCAGGTTAGCCTACAGGTCACAAGTTAGACCGCTGGTTATAAGTTAGAAACCAAGTTCTTGTCCAGGTTAATCCACATGCCAGGTACACTCTAAGCACTTTTCATAACAACACTATATTGTTATAGGTGGTCTTATTACAATCCCTGTCATATAGTTAAGGAAACTGAGGCACAGAAAGATTAACAACTTTTCCCAAGGTCACACGGCCATTAAGGAGCAGAGCTAGGATTCAAACCCAGGTAGTCAGGCTCCAGAACCCACACTCATAACCTTCACACTAACTGCCTCACACACTTATGGACCTGTTTAATGTTAAAATTTAGTGAAAGAATTTCCAACCATGGGCCACAAAAAATGGTAAGGCTTTGGGAAACTAGGCCCTGTGCCCCCTCTAAGGGTCTTTGGTCACAGCATGGGGGTGGGGAGGCATCTCCGTTTATTCATTCAACAAACATGGGGCACTGGCAGTAGAGTTGTGGTAAGTGCCCTGAAGGAAATGATCAAGGTATGGTGATTGCCAACTAGGGCAGGTGTGGGAAAGTGGGGAGAGAGGGGGACCACTTAGACAAGGCTTATCTGTTACAGCGATATTTCTAGACATATGACCCAGCAACTCAGAAGAACTGGGGCTGAGTGGGAGGTGGAGGGAGAGTGCCTTTCCCTGAGTTAGAGGCGATTCCACAGAATCTTTACATGATACCCATGGTGTTATTCAGCCTTGTCGACCAGCCCATCCTTTTATCTTGCCAAGGCAGGGAATCTTAGAATGATACAGAGCTGATCTCAAAACCTCTAGGAGGCAGAGAACCCCCCCTCTGCAGAGGACATGCAGTATGATTAACTGTGGTGCTCACCCAGCTCAGACCACCTGGGTCCCAACCCCAGCTCTGCCATTCCCCAGCCCAGTGCCTGGGCCTCAGAGTGCTCGCCGGCACGGCTCTCTTTCAGAGGGAAGTTACAGGGGATTTAATCATTTTAGCACAGTGGCTGGCAGGCCGTAAATACTCAAAAAATGGCAAGTAAGCTTATCAGGATGACAGCTTGGAGAGTGGAAGCAACCAGGGCTCATTCTAGGCCAACCCTCTCATTTTGCAGATAAAGAAAGGAAAGGACTTGGTCAACTTCTCCAACGCAGTAAGCGATAGGTCTGGTACCAGAACCCAAGGCCCCGGCTCCCAGGTGAAGGCAGTTCCTACAATAACTGCTCTTAACACATCACCACATTTCAACCTGCCAACAACCCTGAGATCCAGGCGTCATCCTCGCCTGTATAGTCTGCTTTCCTGTCCTCATACCTTTGACTTCATCTCCCTCCACTTTTCTTCTTGTGCTTCCCACTCCAGCCACACTGGCCTCGCTGCTCCTGAAAATGTCTGTCTGTCTGCCTGCCTGCCTATCTGTCCATCTATCTAATCTATCAGTCCCCCTCCTGCCTCCTTCATCCTTGCTGCCCCCTCTGCCCGAATGGCCGTGCTTACATAGTAAGTCCTCACTGAGCCTCGTCAATAGGTTCTGTGACTTTAAGTGAAATGTATAAAGAAACCAATTTTCCCACAGGCTAATTGATATATACAGGAGTTAAGTTCCTACAGCACCTCATCAGCCTTGTAACCAAAAGGTGTGAATCGGGAACCTGCTGTATTCTCACTGTAGTCAGGTCTTTGCTCAAACGTGCCTTATATAAAATGGTGAGATACTGGAGATTTACTTCAAAATGGTTCACTGGGGGAAAGGAGCAGTGAGTAACAAAACAGGACCGGGTCAAGCCGGCCCTGGGTGAGGCTGGGTAATGGATACAGGGGGTTTTCTATACCATATTTTTTATTTAGGTTTGAAATTGTCTCAGATAAGGTTTCTTTTTAAAGCTCACATCATTACGTTTGTCTCTATTTTTGCATGTTTATGTTTTTCCATAATAAAAGGTTTTTTAAAAGCCTGCCTTATTCCTTATATTATTCTACTTTCATGTACATTTGAGTTAAAAGCTTTAAAGAAAAACTTACCAGAGGCCTTTCAGCTCTTCCCCCTCCCCCTCCCCCCACACACACCACACTAACCCCTTCATTCTTCTTAGCACTTATGACCACCTGAAATATTACATGTTTATTTGGTTATTTTCTGTCTCCACGAACTAAAATATCAACTCCATGAAAGCAAAGACCTGGCTTTCTTTCACTGCCAGGCCCCCAGCAATTGTAACAGTGCCCGGCACACAGCAAATATTTTTCAGATGAACATGTGTTGAGTGGACCCTGTTTTAAAGGTTAGGAAACTAAGGTGCTGGCTGATTTAGCTGTTCACTCTAAGCTGCTCAGAAAGCCAGTTACGGGGCCAGAATTTAAACACTGGTTTAGGCTTCCTCTGTCCCCAGGAGCTGAGAACCTATTCCTTGTTTCTACACACACACACACACACACACACACACACACACACAGTGATGTTACCTGGTGGCACATGACCCAGGACCAGAAGAGACACAATGAGGAGAAGCAGCTGTGTCATGGCCACAGGGCTCCTGGGAGGCTACTGGGGAGAGAAAACAAGAGGAGAGGACCCAGCACACCAAGCCCTGCTACCTGGGGCCCAGCTTTTATTGAGCTACAGGGCTGTGGGCTGCAGGAGATTTAAGTGGAAGTCTGAGACCTTGTGGTCCCAAGGCTGTAGCTGGATCTCAGCCAGCTATGTGGGGAACTGGTTGGGCACACACTCCGGACATTGCTGAGCTCTGTAACTGGGGACAGAATTTCCTGAAGCAATGTCTGGGGTCAGAAACTGGACAGCTTCCCCACCTGAGAGGGTGGGGAAAGTCTTGGCTTCAGAGAGGCCTGCTTCATTGCCAGCAACTCCCTCTAATTGCTGTGATACCTTGGACAAGTCACTTAACCTCTCTGAGCCCCAGGCTGCCATCTAGGAAATGAGCACAAGCCCCCCTTGCAAAGCTAAATACATGGAGGATTCCCTTCCTGATGCCAAGGAGATGAAACCAGAATCCATTGACCTGTTCAAACAGCCATGTGTTTAGGCCCACACAGGAAATGAGAAGAGTAATAGTACCCTCCAAACAGAGAGTAATGGTTACCTAGCTCATTTAGAAGATTAAACCAAACAATACAAAGTGTGGTACGCAGACCAGCAAGCAGCAGCAATAAATACCTGGGGCTTGTTAAAAGTGAAAATTCTCAAGCTCTGTCCAAACCTACTGAATCAAAAACTCAGGCGTGGGTCCCAGCAAGCTGTGGTTTAAGAAGCCCTACAAGTGATTCGAACATATTGCTAAAGTTTGAGAACCACTGAGATCATACGTGTACAGAGCTTACAGCAGCGTCTGAGTTGCATCCTGAAAGATGAGTAGAGGAAAATATTCCAGGCAGAAGAAATATAATGTGCCTGGAAGTGTGGGGCATGACCAGAGCAAGGAACTTGTTGGGAGGAGATTGGAAATGGCCCTGCAGAGGACAGTTTCTTTTTCAAACTCACATCATTACATTTTTCTCTATTTTTGCATGTTTACATTTTTACATAATAAAAAGTTTTTTAAAAGCTCGCGTTGGTCCATATTTTATTCTCTCACGGCCATGTACATTTGAAATAAAAATTAAAAAAAAAAAACTTATCAAAGAACTTTCAGCTCTCCCATCACCCCACATGCACACACCACACTAACCCCTTGCCCTGCTTTTATTCACAATGGGCCTCGAATGCCGAGTTCAGGCTTTTGTAGTGTAGACAAGTTTAAGTTTTGTAGCAAGGGTGCAACTTGTTTAGATTTCAGTTTTATTTTTTCCCTTTATTATTTATTTGTTTGTTTGTTTTGTTAAATGTATTGGGGTGACACTGGTTAATAGGATTATATAGGTTTCAAGTGTATATTTCTTTGATACATGATCTGTATATTATACTGTATGTCCACCCCCCAAAGTCAGATCATCTTCCATTACCAAATATTTGCAGATTTCAGTTTTAAACAAAGAAACTAAAATCCAAGGAACAGAGGTGACTTGCCTAAAGTCATAGAGCAATTGAGTTGCAGAGCTGGGACTTCAACTAAGTTGCCTCACTCCCAGACAATGTATGACACTGCACCAGTCACAGCCCATCTTGTGGGTGGGGAAGGGAAGTTTAGAGGGCCGGCCCACAGAAGGAAGCCAGGCATGAAGGGCTTCAGCGAGTCGACTAGACTGCTGTGGGTGTTGCTTTGAGCTGGACACTTGGACCCCCTCAGCCATGACAATGAGCCCCACCCACAGGTACAGCCAGTCTCCATGGGCTTCACATACATACCTGCTCCAGTCCCTCATGAGCTAAAAGGAAGCAGCCTCCTCAAGAGCTTGGATCCTGGTCCCATGAATGGCCAAGCTCACCAGTTCCCTGCAGCCAACTCCTCTTCTATAACCCAGATCACAGTGTCTCTTTCCTCCTCCTACATGCCTGGGAAAATAAAAGATTTAAATACAAAATTTAAAAAGCCATGAACCGTGATAGAAAGGGACAGTAGACTGAGAGGCAGAGACCCTGAGTCGCAGGCCCAGGTAAGCCTGGGTTGGTGTTGTCTTGGGATTAAATGAGCTACTAATCCAGGCAAAGAGCTCAGACCATACCAGGCACAGCGCAAGTGCTCAATAAATATTAATCAAAGAGTGGACAGCCGTTCTCCCAGGTGCAGGACAGCCCTCGGTGCAATAATGGGGGCTTCACCTAGAATCTGGTGAATGAATGAACGATGCAAAAACAAGACATTCAGAACTCAGCGCAGACCTCCTGGCCCCCTCTCCCCCCACCTCCCAGAGTTAATTCTCCGTCCGTTCAAAGCAGTTTCCGGCAGTGGGGTCCGGGACTCTGCATCAGGATCACTTGGGCACTTGCTTAAAAGGCAGATGCCCGGACCCCCCCCCCCC